CGCTCCTGTCAGTGGAGACAGTCACCCGTGACTCGTTTCCCACGTCCAGGCCGTCGGCCACCCTCACCAGCTACAACTCCGGTGCATGGTGCAAATCCAGCCACTCTCCTGCATCTCCTGTACGCTGACCGCTTCCCTCCTGTTCCAGTTGGATGATCGCAATAAACTTCTAACTGGTTTCTTCCTATTCTATTTTGCGCCTTTCCAGTCCTTTCCTTCAGAATATCGATCTGTTGTGGTTTGGGGGTTTGCTTTTGCTTGTAGCACAAACTCGATCGTGTCAGTTCCACGTTTGAAATCTTTCACTGGCTTTGCGTTGATCTCAAGAGAACATTGTTCACAAGAGCCCACACATCTGGACTTTGCACTAGTAGCTTCGTCTGTCCCTTACTGCAGGCCCCATGTCCCTTGTGTTTGAAGCCTTCCATCTGCATTAGCCCCAAGTTGTCTTCACCCACAGGGCTTTCACTCACTGTCTCCCATGCCCGGGATGCTCGTTACCTGATGATCTAATTCCTACTCAAGCCTCAGGTTATAGCTTAAATATTGTTTTGTTAGAGAGCCTTTTCTTTACCTCGTAATTAAAATTACGGTCTCATCTGTTTATACTCTCATTGTACCTTATTTTTTCTATACTCTGATTTTACCCACAGCTGTGTCTCATTTTGTACTTAGGTATTTTTTTTTTGCAATTGCTTGTTTATTATTTACTACTCTCACTCAAACAAGGTCTGTGAGGGCATGGAATGGAGTCAGGGTCAGAAGAGAAGTTTTATTTATTTATTTTTATTTATTCATTTTTTAAAAGGAAGCCTTTTTATTTTTAATGTTTTATTTATTTTTGAGAGAGAGAGAGAGACAGAGTGCAAGTGGGGGAAGGGCAGAGAGAGAGGGAGACACAGAATCGGAAGCAGGCTCCAGGCTCTGAGCTGTCAGCACAGAGCCCGACGCGGAGCTTGAACCCATGAACCGGGGCTCGAACCCACGAACCATGAAGTCATGACCTGAGCCGAAGTCGGACGCTTAACCAACTGAGCTACCCAGGCGCCCCAGAAGATGAGTTTTAAAGCTGAGCACGGGCCAGTCCAAGGATGGGTCTTTTGCATCATGCTAAGGTGTTTGAATTTTGTATTGGAGGAAGAGGAGAACTTTTAAAAGAATTTAAGTAAGGTGGTGGCTTGCTCAGAATTTGATTCGGGAACCTCTGTGTGGTCCCCAGTGAAGTATGGATGAAAAAAGAGTTAAGACCAGAGGCAAGGACACTGGAAAAGACATCACTGGATTGATTCGGGTGAGAGAGCTTGAGGTGAAACTAAGCACAACAGTGTTACCACAAAACTATTTTCTGATGTTAAAGATTTTATTTTTAAGTAATCTCTGCACCCAACATGGGGCTCAAACTCACAACCCCAAGAGCGAGAGTCATCTGCTGTACGTATTGAGTCAGCTAGGTGCCCCATAAAACAAGAAATATTTTCAATAAGTTAGAATATGGTGTTGATCAATAGTTGGGTTTCCTTCAAAGCAATCTCTGAGGCGGAGGTTAGGGTACATTGTTTTTTACTACGAAGTAGTTTTGGGATCAACACCTGAGGAAAAGAAGGGAAGGAAGAGGAGTGGGGGAAAGGAGGGAAGCTTAAGGGGAGGTGCAGAACCAGGTGATGGCTAAGGCATCAAGCCAAGACTGAAACAAGTCCCTCTTCAAAATAGAAACACTTTACCGCCTCAATTAGAAGATGATGGCTTCTTTGGGCCTCTACAGAAAAGCCAGTGAGGCAGGGTATGAAAGTGTTATTTGAAGACAGGAGTAAGAATGCCCAGGAAGGGGGTGCCTGGGTGGCTCTGTTGGCTGAGCATCTGACTTCAGCTCAGGCCGCCATGATCTCACAGTTTGTGAGTTTGAGCCCCACATCTGGCTCACTGTCGTCAGCATGGAGCTCACCTCAGATCCTCTATCCCCCCCGTCTCTGTTCCTCCCCGATTCATGCTCTCTCCCTCTTTCTCTGTCAAAAATGAATTACAAAAAAACAAAACAAAACAAAACAAAAAAAACAACAAAAAAAAAAAAAAAAAAAAAAGAATGCCCAGGAAGTCTGTCACATTTCTAGCAAACTTCCATGTTGGAGCAGTAGAAAATATAAGTGGATTACAAGAGTCATGTGGATAAATTGCAGGGAACACATTTCTGGCAAAATGAAGTTTTAATATGGAAGAGAATCGAGTATATTTATATTCTAAAGGACAACGCAGAGAGAAGAAGAGGGTGTAGATACAATGAAGGGAGGGAATTATCAATGGAACAGGAGCCCCCGAGGAGGAAGATGCGGTTAAGATTCCCAGAAAGTTGGAGAGGAAAACAATATCTCCCTTTCAACGTAAAGGAAGAAAGTAAAGCTGATGTTGAGAATCGGCTTTGCCTGTGAGGAGCCAAAAACAAAAGCTCCTACATTATTTATGTTTCTTAGATTATACCTATAATCAGGATGTACCTCCACATTCTAAGTAAACATATGCTCTCACTTGCATTTATTTGTAATACAGACCAGATGTTTTACCTGAAGGAAAAAAAAAATCAAACAATTAGAAAAGAACAGTAAGTTGGAAACTTCTAGGACAAAATGAAGATAGGGTTTAAAGTGAGGTAGAATGAGGAAGAGGAAATAGAACACAGAAGACAAGGTGGAAGCGAGACAAGTCAGAATAATGTTGGCAAATCCCTTCAGGGTGGGAAGAAACGTGTGTCTCAGTAACCTTGAACAAAGGCAGAGAAAACCCTGCCTTCTGAGCTGGTGTTAGGAAACTCTGAACTACACAGAAGTTATGTTTCCTTAATGATTCACATTCCTTAAAGAGGGAGTTCTCACTTGATCTAGAATGGTACTAATACAGCAATAGCAACAAAACAGAGATATGATTGATACATAATAGCTAGAGAGACCACCCATCTTAAAAACTCAAGTTTCCATAGTTCCTAATTCAATTAATGGGCTCTTTAAATTTGGATGGTATTGGACCTGCCATTGGCTCTTGGGCTGTGGTTGACTGAGAGGGAGGACCTGTGGCAAATTGCAACGTCTCCCAGTTGGAATACGCATGGTGTGCTCATTTTCAAGCAGGTTTCATCCTTGAGATGGAATCGTTGCAGTAGGATGTGAACGGAAAGGGGAAAGGTCCAGGCTTCCCACATTAAGCATCATGGTCCTTGGACAGCGGCCGGGAAGTGATGCTCAAGGATGAAATATTGATTCCTGAACTTTGAAACAGTCTCAATGGAATTCTACTTGCTTTGAAAACAATTTGTGAAACTACTGACAGGTAGTATTAAATTTCAGGTTCAGTCCCATTCATCTGGAAAAACTTGAAAACATCTCTCCCCTCCCCCTTTTGACTCAGTCAGAGAGGTAAGTATAGCAAGATAGAGATTGGATGAATTTCTAGATCATTTCCACATAGCTAGCCTAGCCACACACTCTGAAGACCTCACATTCTGCATCTTGCAAACAAGGGACTTAAACCTGTTATAACTTGGAAGACACCTTCCATCTCTAAGAACTTTCCCATTACCTGAATTTAAGTAATTGCACAGATAATCCAAAGGGCCACTTTTATATTGTTCCATAAAAATGGAGTATACATTTTTGGCTTTGATCAATGTGATATATTTCAAGCTTCCATTGAAGGAAAAAAAAAAAAAAAAAGATAATCGGGGCACCTGGGTGGTTCAGTAGGTTAAGCGTCCAATTCGGCTTAGATCGTGATCTCATAGTTCATGGGTTCGAGCCCCGCATTGGGCTCCGTGCATTGGGTTCTGGAGCCTGTTTTGGGTTCTGTGTCTCCCTCTCTCTCTTCCTTTTCCTGGCTCTCACTCTCTCTCTCTCTTTCTCTCTCAAAATAAATAAACATTAAAAAAAATTAAAAAACAAAAACAAAAACCGCTAGGAATGCCTGGGTGGCTCAGTCGGTTAAACATCTAACTTCTGCTCAGGTTATGATCTCCTGGCTTGTGAGTTTGAGCCCTGATGTGAGCTCTGTGCTGACAGCTCAGAGCTCGGAGCCTGCTTCCAATTCTGCATTTCCCTCTCTCTTTGCCCCTCTCCTGCTCATTCTCTTTCTCTGTCTCAAAAATAAATAAACATAAAAATTTTTTTTTAATTTTTTTTAAATGTTTATTTATTTTTGAGACAGAGAGAGACAGAGCATGAATGGGGGGGGGGCAGAGAGAGGGAGACACAGAATTGGAAGCAGGCTCCAGGCTCTGGGCCATCAGCCCAGAGCCCGACGCGGAGCTCGAACCCACGGACAGTGAGATCATGACCTGAGCCGAAGTCAGACGCTTAACCGACTGAGCCACCCAGGCGCCCCAAACATAAAAAATTTTTTAAAAACCAGCTAATCAAAGTTTATATATGAAACATTCCACCAGAGAGGAAGTGTTACTTAACAGATATTATAACAAGTACCAGTAAATTCAATTATAGGGACTGCTTATCTCTGTTCTTCTTTCTGATCTTAAGAATAAACCAAATTCTGAATTTTTTTGCATAGGACTTCTCCTTTTTTATAAAGTATCAGAGGTTTTAGTAGAAGTCTTGAAACTAACTGGTACACATTTTTCCACATTCAGAGGTCTTGATTAAACCCAGAACTGACTAACCGTATTAAAGACGAGTGGCTTAGATTAGAAAAAAGTAATAGATCATCTACACCGCAAAGTGTTCTTCAATTGCTCCCCAAAGAACTGGTAAGGTTTTCGCGTGGTCTCCAGTTGTGACTTAACTTAGATGCTTACGCTTTTTTCTCAGAGCGATTTTTTCCAGCAGGAAGTCTTCAGCTCTGTAATTAGCAATCCACAATGGAAGCTTTGACACTTAATTACAACATTGCTAAGACAATAATAATAAAAGGAAGACCGAAGTTGAATGCAGTATTTCTGGACACACCTCTGGCTACCTTCTTATTGGCTGGGAAACAATTATATATGACTAGTAAATAATCCATATCGAAATGAATGCCTGTGTACAAAGGCAGGTACTTCTAGTTAGGCCAAGTTCAGTCGCTGGTGCTGCTTTCAACTAAAACATTATGGGCAGGGACACTGGAGAACATCATCAGAGACTGCTGTAGACTCAAAGAGGCCTCCTCCACGTTCTGGATCTCCAGCAGCTTCTACCATTCCAGGCTGGATCGCTCTTCAAAGCAGAGGCGATGGCATTCTATCCCCTGCAGATTGCTGGTCTGGTTCTTGGCTTCCTTGGCATGGTCGGAACTCTTGCCACAACCCTCCTGCCCCAGTGGAGGGTATCGGCTTTCGTTGGCAGCAACATCATCGTTTTTGAAAGGCTCTGGGAAGGGCTCTGGATGAACTGCGTCCGACAAGCCAAGGTCCGGCTGCAGTGCAAGTTCTACAGCTCTTTGTTGGCTCTCCCACCTGTCCTAGAGGCAGCCAGGGCCCTCATGTGTGTCGCCGTCGCTCTCTCGCTCATCGCTCTGCTTCTTGGCATCTGCGGCATGAAGCACATCCGGTGCACGGGCTCCAACGAGAGGGCCAAAGCGTACCTTCTGGGGACCTCCGGGGCCCTCTTCATCCTGACCGGCATCTTCGTTCTGATTCCTGTGTGCTGGACGGCCAACATCATCATCAGGGATTTCTACGACCCAGCCATCCATGTGGGGCAGAAACGAGAACTGGGAGCAGCCCTCTTCCTCGGCTGGGCCAGCACCGCCATCGTCTTCATCGGAGGTGGCTTGCTCTGCGGGTTCTGCTGTTGCAACAGAAAGAAGCCGAGACACCGATACCCAGCCCCGGGATACTGCGTGCCCCACGCGGAGAAGCGGAGGAACGTGACCTCCACCAGCTATGTCTAGCACCTGCTTTGGGCTCCAACTGTGGATTCCAGTCAGAGGTTTTTATAGAGCCCTGCTAGACGCTGTAAGTACGTCGGGCGTGAGAACTGGCCTTATGGCTTCATTTCAATGGAGAGGAAAGTATAAACGGTAGATAGATCGTACTTGGTCACCCGTGGTAGGAATAGAAATGGCTTACTTTGGACATTCTAACTCCGTCTGTATTAAATGCGTTTACTATTATGAGACACAAATGATCCCCGTTCCAATTTGTGGAGTCGAAAATCGAGTATATCCACAACCTTAGTATAATGATAACTACTGTTTTTTTGTTTTGTTTTGTTTTGTTTTGTTTTTTTGACAATCATGGAGCATCTGCTAGGAAATGCAAATTTTATTGCAATTGATAACGCACACCAGTAAAAAAATACTCTAAACCATAACCTAAGTTAATTTTCCTCCACATTATTTCTTAGACTAATACAGCAACAACTGAAATGTGGACTTTCCTTTTTTAAACAATTAATCTGAAAAATAGTAGATCTGAAATACGGATATTTTTAAATGCTTATTTATTTTTGAGAGAGAGAAAGAGCATGAGCAGAGGACAGGTGGAGAGAGAGGGAGACATAGAATCTGAAGGAGGCTCCAGGCTCTGAGCCTAATGCTCCAACCCATGAACTGTGGGATCATGACCTGAGCTGAAGCGGGATGCTTAACCGACTGAGCTACCCTGGCACCCCTCCAATAAAGATTTTTAATTGAATTTATCAAAATATGGAAATGCCCATCCAATGAAAAGATATGTTATTCCCTTAGGAAACTCAAATGCACTGGCAATTAGACACTTTCAGGGGAAAAAGAGGGGCTCTGATTTCTCTTAGGAAATTTATGAAGATGATGTTAAAGCACCTAATTTATACAGTTAGGCTTGCCTGGAATTACATATCCAAAGGAAAATAATTTATAAATGAGAAGTAATATGTTCTATAACCTCTGATTTGTGCCTACAGCAAACAGAAGTATCTATCTTGATAAAGTACATCAGTACAAGAGTATGAGCACTCAACTGTCATCAAGAGGAAATACGGTCCTAATTAGGGAACTGAGGTTTGGGTGTTGAAGGGAATGGTTTCTGTTCCTTGTTTTATTCTTTAGTCATTGTTCAGGTCTGCACACGCAAAGTAAAATGAAGAATTAAGGTAATGATTCAGGCAATTAGTCAGGCTAAAATAAGTACCTCCATTTTATTCTCTAATAAATAAATAGGGATGGTTAAGGCATCGTGTTTTGCTTGAATTATGTATATTATTTTCTCAATTCTTTACTCCTCATGCATTTAACATGCACATTTAATATGCCGATATGGTTAAAAGTATGTGAGGGGGGCGGAGAGGAATGGGTATATAAGTGTTTGTGGGGCAAGACCACTCCTATGGCTTGCTTCTGAATATCTCCAGTATGTTGTGAACCAATCAATGTTTATATATCCAGTTCTAACTCTTCAAATATTATGTTTATTTTATAGTAAAAACTGTATTTAATTTGCAGTACATAATTGCAATGAACAGATTAGATTTGTTCACCAAATATTTATTGTGTGTCCATCCTTACGATAATAAAATAATAACATTGTTACATATTTTCAATTACGTTGATATATTTCACTGTGGGGTCAATTTCAGAATGAATTTCTATCTTCAAAAGACCATCTATTATCTCTGAAACGTTAAATCAGAGATAACTCAAGGGTAGATGTTGACATCAGACCTTCATTCCATTCTACAAACCACCAGCAAGGCTTCAGCAAGTGAAACCTTGGTAATATAAGACAATATTTAAAAAAAATTAGTAATACGTAATGTTAAAGGCCACATAAATGTCTTCAAATAATATCAATATGTAATATCAATATGTAAACATCTTCAAATAACATCAATTAAAAACAAGAAAAAGAATTACTTAGATTTTTCCTCAGCTTATTTTCTTTTTCAGACTTCATTCAGAAAGGTCTAAATTTTGAGTGTGCTGAAAAGTGATCATTGATCATATATACAGGCAAATAAGTATGAAATCAAGACATGTACGATATATGCGTAAAGGTTGTCATAGAATTATTTGTCTTACCTTTTGGCACCCTAGAAGAGGTACATAACCTCGCATGACAGGTTCCAGAGATTAAATGAGGGACATCATCCTGCCAGCCAGAGGATCAAAGAGTAAAAACGGTGTAACATGGGGTAGAATCACAAAACTATTAGAGATAACATTAGTCACTGAACTGGGGCAAAATTTCAGGAACTAAGAATTCTTTTGTTTGCTCTTTTACTAATCAAGGTGTAGTTTGGGGAAATGATTTCTATTTTCTCCACTCTGCTGCATTATTTTCTGTTTCACACCACAAAGAAACTTCAATAATTTTTAATGAATTTCAAGACACATTATGAATGTAAATCTCATACCACAAACCCAGGTGTGCAAGAATTACATCATTCTTATCTCAAATTGAACGTAAATTCAATTTCTGGAGTATTTCTCTACATGTTTCACCATTCTTAAGATCTTGTATAAGGTTAAGCAATGCTTGGGGTGATGGGTTGATGGGATCAGCCCATGATGATCATCAGTCCATACAGGTCACTGACAAGATGTCTATTGTACCTGCTCTCATGGTCCATTTAGATTTCTCAGCTCTGCTAATTCTTTGTGATGCTTGGCAATCTTTTTTGAGACTCTCTAGTTCTGGGCTACTTGGGTTAGTGGATTTCAACCTTGGCCGAATATTAGAATTGCTAGGGGAATATTAAAAACTACCAGTGCAGCCAGTATCAAGATGATCTATGCCATTTCCTAGATTCATAGCAAACGCTTGACCTGTTGATTTGGTTACCATTATCTACAAACAGTGGTGAAAGAAATGATTCCTTCTCCCATGAGATTTTTTTTTTTAATTTTTTTTAACGTTTATTTGTTTTTGAGACAGAGAGAGACAGAGCATGAACGGGGGAGGGTCAGAGAGAGAGAGAGGGAGACACAGAATCTGAAACAGGCTCCAGGCTCTGAGCTGTCAGCACAGAGCCCGACGCGGGGCTTGAACTCACAGACTGCAAGATCATGACCTGAGCCGAAGTCAGATGCTTAACCGACTGAGCCACCCAGGTGCCCCAAGATTTTTTTTTAATATCACCTCTACAAATATCCTTTTCCTCCACTGTCAACAATTTTATCCAAGTTCATAGAGGCTTAGGCTTTCAGAAGCAAAAATGCATAAAAACTAAACCTCTTCTAGACTATTTTGCCTTCAGTTTTGCTATATACTCCACTGAGCCAGCGAAATGCATTGCTGGCTACCTTCTGGAATGGTGGCCAGGGAAAGAGGGAAAATAAATATTATTTACCCACACATGATTAAAAATGTTTAAACATTTTTTTTAATGTTTTTATTTATTTTTGAGACAGAGAGAGACAGAGCATGAGCAGGGGAGGGGAGGGGCAGGGAGAGAGGGAGACAGAATCCGAAGCGGGCTCCGAGCTGCCGGCACAGAGCCCGACGCAGGGCTCGAACTCACCGCGAGATCATGACCTGAGCCGAAGTTGGACACTTAAACGACTGAGCCATCCAGGAGCCCCAAAAATGTTTTAAAGGAGTAACCCATTGTAAGTTACAATTTTAGTTACACGAACACTAAGAATTCTTTTCATTTTCAAAAAAAAGTTGATATGTCTAGAAATATTTTGTTGGGTTCACTTGTTCTTCTTCACAACAACTATATAATGTAGAAAGTGTAGACATCATTATCAACATAAGCGTTGCAACTAAGAGAACTCAAACTTACTAAGTTACATGACTTGGCCTGAGTCATAGAGCTAACCTTGAGAAATCAGGCGGTCAACAATAGTACTAAGTAGATACTTAGTAAGTATTTGAGGAATGATCAAGAAACGATATAAATGCAGTATAACAGTTTGCGATTTTAGCTTATATGCAGCTCCTCCTCCCACAGGAAAGAGCTAAAACAATAGAACTCAGAAATTTAAAGACAGCTTCTATGTCTTGCTTTTGTTTGGTCTGAAAAGCCTCTTTTTTTTTTTTCTTTTGAGAGAGAGACAGAGAGAGAGAGAGAGAGAGGGAGGGAGATGGGGAAGGGCAGAGGGAGAGGTAGAGAGAATCATAAGCAGGCTTCATGCCCAGCGTGGAGCCTGACAGGGGGCTCGATCTCATGACCATGAGATCATGACCTGAGACAAAAATCAAGAGTTGGACTTTTTCTTTTGAAATTAATTAATTTATTTTTGAGAGAGAGGTGGTGGTGGGGGGGCAAGTGCACAAGTATAGGGGATGGGGGACAGACAGAGAGAGACACAAAATCCAAAGCAGGCTCCAGCCTCTGAGCTGCCAGCACAGAACTGCAGACCTCAAACGAACAAACTGTGAGATCATGACCTGAACCAAAGTTGGACGCTTAACCGACTGAGCCACCCAGGCGCCCCTTAAGAGTCCAACTCACGGTCCGTGAGTTTGAGCCCCATGTCGGGCTCTGTGCTGACAGCTCAGAGCCTGGAGCCTGCTTCGGATTCCGTGTCTCCCTCTCTCTCTGCCCCTCCCCCGTTCATGCTCCGTCTCTCTCTGTCTCAAAAATAAATAAACGTTAAAAAAAAATTTGAATGTTGGACTCTTAACCCACTGAGCCAAGCAGGCACGCCTAAAAAGCCTAAATTCTAAAGATCGCATGGACAAATTAAAAAATGGCTCAGTCAGAACAAGGTTCTCCTCACTCTTAGGATTATAAAATAAATTATTTGGATGAAAGTAAAACAAACAGGAGTTCAGAGGGTCTAGAAATCGATGTGTCCCTGGGAATGACCCTGTGCGCTCTCCCTAGTCCACTTTCTAGGGACTCTGGCAACGAGAAATGCAGAACTATCAGACGGGTTTGAGAATTTAAGGGCAGAAGTGACCTGTGTCCTGACCCCAGCTGGAGCCAAAGATGTTGATGGTTTTCCTCATGCCCTCACAGTGCTGGGGAATAAGAAACATCTCCATGATGTGTTTGGTCCGACAGGACAGGAAAGAGTCTTGCCAGTTTTCCACCTACTATGGCACCAGAAGAATATGTCACAGTCACCCGAGACCAGCGCAGAGCATTTCAATAGGTTTGGTGGTTGGAACTAAGTAAGAATGCAACGGCAACCCACGTGAATGGACAAGTGGGTCTGTTCGCAGCGCGTTTGTCCGTAGACTCACTTCTTGCCCTTCCTCGGTCTACTCTGTATCTCCAGGAAGGGGATTCCTGTGGGCAGCGTAGTGGCGTGCCGAGGGAGCAGTGGGGTCCATCCTCAATAAGTACAGACATTAACAAGTCCTCTGTCTGGAGAGAATGTAAAAACGATCACAGAACTCAATAAATATGGGTTCCATTTATGATCTTCACGTGCTGCCGTCCCTAAACAATGTCAGTGATTAAAAAAAAAAAAAATGTGTTGGCTCCCGTCCTGAACAGTCACTGTAGTTACTATAAATAGCTAATAGTAATATTGACGATGATGATGGGGGTAATAGATGATAGATGACAGATGGGTGGTAGATAAGTATGTAATGAGAGATTGTACGTAATGGATAAATGATGGAGGGGTAGCAAAATAAA